TTTTTAGTTAATATGAGTTCATATTTGGGAAGAGTGTATAGATTCATTTCTGTGCAGGAAGATGTTCAGTTATTTCCTCAATGTAGAAAAAGCTGTCTTTGCTCTTGCTACTTTAATTATATGTCTCTGTCTCTCTCTCTTTCATATATACACACGACCCTCCCAAGTATCAAACTCAAGATATCTCTCTCTTTTTTTTTTTTTTTTGCTCTTGCCAGGCAGGTGCTGTCCCCCAGAGCTGTATCTACTGCATGTTTCTGTTTCTAATCTTATCTCTCTATCTTTTCCCTTGATAGGTGTTTCTTTTCACCAGTACCACACTGTCTTGATTTCAATAGCTTTGTACTAAGTCTTGAAGTTGGATAATTCTCTAACTTTGTTCTCTTCATTTTGAGTAAGGTGTTTGGAAGACTTTGTTTTCTTCTACATAAACTTTTAGAATTATTTTGTTGATAACCACAAAATAGTTTGCTAGGTTTTCATCTTAAGCCTTGGCTTTTTGACAGTACTTCGTCTTCCAGTGCATAAATATGGGGAGATTTGTTTATTTCTCTTATTTTTTCAGTAAATTTAGCACTTTAAAAGTAGGTTAAGTTTGATGTTAAAATTTTGCTGGCATATAATCAGACCCATTTTTTAATATTGTATAACAAGAATTTTTTATTTCAGATACATATTACTAGCATAACAGTATTTAGTTTAACAGCATAACTATTAAACTGAGATGCATACCATTACTTAATGCTTTTCACAATTATGTTGTGTTGACTTACTGTTAACACATATTTGCATTTAGTTCAGTTCAGTTTAAGAGATTTTGCCTTAGGGATAGAAGACAAAACATGCAAGTGGTATTTAGTGTAGACCTCTGTATATGGCTTATTTATAATACGAAAAGTTTTCATTTATAAAAGTTTTATTAGGGGAGAACGTGTGTTTGTAAAGTGAATTCATTAAACATTTGAAAGTTTCTATAAGAAATCACTCCTATGTTGCAAAATGAGTGTTACTGACCCTTGCCATAAAAGTAATTGCTGAGTTAATATTCCAACAGCGAGAAGCTGGATAGTTAAATCTGTCCTGATGTTGCTGATTTTTGAAACAATATCATTTGTTAACAGAGAAACTGATAACAGAATATTTCCAGATGCTAGTGTGCCAGTGTCATATTTTTCTACCTGCTCTTTAAATTTAGTTATTTTGATATAATAGTGTACATAAAACATAGCATTTAAAAAGGAAAATGAAAATTTGCAAAAAGAAGGTAGTGGAATCAGATGTTTATTTACTGTCTTAGTTGCTTTTCTCACTGCTGAGACAAAATACCCATCATCCAAAGTTAAAGGAGGACTGGTTTATTTAGCTCTTTAGATTGTAGAGGTTTCAGCTCTTTATGAAAATAATTTGAAAATGGCTTTATGTGTTTACTTTTGTCAGCAAATGCTAATAGACAACTTATTTTAAAGAGAATTTAAAAATCAATGAAAGTGATACATAATTTCAAAATCAGATGACAGGAAATTAATAATGGTTATTATATTGCATATTGTTGTCTTCAAAATAGTTGCTCAGATTACCAGATACAGGCATGCAAACAATATAAGCACTAACTGTTCCTTTCAATGAACTAATAAGAGTAAGTATTACAATTATCTTGCTCATGTGTGTACGTGTGTGTGTATTTTTTTTCCTTCTTCCCCACCCCGTCCCAGTTGTTCTCTCATTTTGAGCAGTTTCTTTCCCTTTCACAATATCTGTTGTACCTTTGGATCTTAGTTACTCTTTCAATGTCTTACGCTAGCAAAACTGTGATGTTTATACATAGAAGTCTGTTTTATTTCACTTAAGACTATAGTCTCTAGTTGTATTCATTTACCTATAAAAACCTCAAGTTTATCCTTCTTTATCGGTAAAGAGTACTCCATTGTATAAAAATACATCTTTTTTAAATCCATTCTTCATTTGATGAGCATTTGGATTGATGATGAGCATTGCAAGATTTAGCAATTATAAATTGTGCTGTTATAAACATGGATGCATATATATCACTGTAGTATGATGTTCCTCAGTTCTCCTGGAAAAGTACCTAGAAAGGAACTAGCTATTTTGAATGGGACATCTTAACCTAATTTTTTAAGGAATCTTCAAACTGCTTTCCAGTGGTTGTACCAGGCCACACTCCTACCAACAGTGGAAAAGGGTTCTTTTTCTCTACAATCCTTCTAGCATTTGTTAATGATTGATTTCTTGATAATAGCCATTTTTTCTGGAGTGAGATGTAATCTCAGCATTGTTTTAACTTGATTTCTTGAGTGACCAATGATGTTGAATGTTTTTTCATATATTGGTTTGCCATTTGTATTTTTTCATCCAAGAAGTGTGTATTCATCTCAGATGCCCATTTTTGGTTTGGGTCATTGATTTGGGGGGGCCTGAATTTAAAAATTATATGTTCTAGGTAGAAGTTGTTTGTCTCAGAGACAGATGACTATACTTTTTTCCCAATTTGGGAGTTTTCTTTGCACTTTGTTGTAGTTCTTTTGATGTGCAAAAGCTTTTTAATAATATAAGATCCCAGTTGTTGATTCTTTTAAAGTATTTCCTATTCAGGTTGGCTTTTGTTCATGAGCTCTCTCTGCTTCCCGTACCCCTTCATCTTAAAGATTTTTGCCTGCTTTCTTTTCTAGTAAATTTAGTCTTTATATTTTATCAGATCTTTGCTCCATTTTTTACTTCAGTTTAGTGCATATGATGGATATGGGGCTAGTTTTAGTCTGTGGCATATGGAAAGCCAGTTTTTCCAGCACCATGTATTAAATAGGCTGTCTTTCTTCTGTTGAACATGTTTGGCCCCTTTATCAAAGATAAGGTGACTGGGTGTATTTTTAGTTGTGTTTTGTGTTCCATTGATACAGAGGTTTGGTATTTCTGTTTTGCTTTTTGTTTTTTTGGCCTGTACTATGCTAATTTTATCACAGTAGCTTTGTAGAATAATGTCAAGTCAGGGATTGTGATGCCTCTTCCCTTGCTTTAGTTGCCCAGGATTTCGTCTGCTACTCTAGGTAGTCTCTTCTGGTTCCAGATGAATTTTAGTATTGGTGTCTCTAGATCTTAAACTTAGAGTCTTTAACATCTCCTTTTCCTTTACCCTTGGCCAGATCCCACCTCTCTTTAGTTACTGAATCACTAAATTAGTGCCTCTCATGCAGTTCCCTGGGTGATGGCACTGCCTGCAGCCCCAGCATTCTGGGAGGTTGAAGCAGGGAGTTTGCAAATCTGAGCCCAGCTTGGTCAATTTAGCAACTTAATGAGAGCTTGTCTCAAAAATAAAAACGGTTGACAGTGTAACTCAGTGTCAAGCCCTGGATTAAATCCCCAACACTGTCCCCCAGAAAATACAGATAGAGAAAGTCACTCACATAACATCCCACATAGATGGGGAGATATTACCTCTCATTTTCAGATTGTAGAAAGCCTAGGCCACTGTATGATATAGTGCCCCCATCCACCTCTTGTATCCCCTTTTAGCTTGCTTTGTGATATAGATATGTAATATGTTAAAGACAGATAAATACAGAGAAAAATGGAAAAGAGGATAAGAAACATGTGGCGATCACATGCAGTGTTTTAGATTGAATGGCAAAACAAGACCTGCTGAAACAGTGACATTTGAGTTGAAACTGCAGATACCGAGCAGATCATGTGGGTATATAGGAAAGCCTTCAGAGTGAGACAGCAATGCTTGGAGGCCCTGAAGTAGAGGTGTGTACACTGTGTTTTGGAGAAACATCATTGCTTCAACCCGTTGAACAATAAAGAGAATAACAGATGAATATTACAGCAGCAACAAATCACACATCCTTTTGGGTTATAAGACTTTGACTTTAACACAAAACAAGAAGTTAAGCCTTTAGAGGTTTTTTTGTTTTTATAAGGGTCATACGATCACATTCACTGTTTAGCTGTCAATTGTCTGATTAAGAATGACTACTTTTATTGTAAAATAGGAGAAAATGTTCAAAAGGAAAAGGGTTTTAGGGAGAAAGGAAGGAGAGGAAAGGGAAAAATGAGAAAGGAAGGGAAAAATGGAAATAAAGCTTTTGTAAATAAGGAAGGGGAATAGGTGTGGAAGGGGGAAAAAAGAATCAAGATATACCATGTATAGGTACAAATTCCCTATGATGAATGTGGTCATTGTGTATACCTAAAATCTACCAATAAACTTAACTAACTATAAAGAGAAAGAGAATAGACTACTATTCTGTGAAGACAGAGTCAGAAGTCCATGCAGGAAACTATTAAAATTAACCAGGTTAGAGATGCTGGTATTTTAAATAAGGGGTCGGGCCAGTGAGGTTGAACAGAAATAATATAATTTTGAGCAGTGGCTCAAAGATAAAACCAGTAGAACTTGCTGCTATACTGAATCAGGTGGAAAGAAAGAGGTCAAAGATAAGGTCTAGACTTTTGCCCTGAGAAACTAGGATGTATGAAGGTAGCTGAAATAGGAAAGATTATAGTTGGAATACTGTGGTACCTTGGTTCATGGACTTCATTCTTTTCCCAGTTCTAGTCAGAAACCAAACTGGATGAGAAGTGAATCAAATTTTCTCTTAGGGTTAACATAGAACCTAACTATTGAATTTGATTTGGTTCTCGTCCAGTTTAGTTTGTGGTCAGAAATGTGGAAATAATTTAAGGTTCCGGAATTGAGGTACCACAGTGTTAGGAATTTGTTTTGGAATGTCTTCAATTTGAGATACTTAACCAAAATTACTTAATTCAAATATTAGATTTCAAAATCAAGTATTTAAATCTGAGGCCTAGTATTTAAATCTGAATTTACAATAGGAATCTATACGGCAGATTTAAATTTGAGAGTTAAGACTGTATTTGCTTTTGAAGGAATAAAACTCATGGGATTACTGAAAGCTACATGTAAGGTAGAAAAGAGCTCCAGGCTGTGAGATCTGGAGGACCACAGAGCTTATTGTTTAAAAAAAAATATGGAATGCTTCATGAATTTGCATCTCACCCTTGTGTAGGGGCCACACTAATCTTCTCATATCATTCCAATTTTAGTATGTGTGCTGCCAAAGCGAGCACATTATAAATCTGCTTGCTTGCTGTTTTTGTATGGAGGATCGAACTCACAACCTCACACTTGCCAAGCAGGCACTCAGGCCACTGAGCTTTTGACCACAGAGTTTAGAAGATAGAGAAACAAGAAGCAGCAGTAGAGACAAAAGAGGGTAGAGTCAAGAAAGCTTAGAGGAAAATCAAATTAATAAGATACATTATTCTAGCAACAAAATGGAAAAAGTGAATCAAGAAGAATCTGTCAAATGTTGCTGGACCAAATACTATGAGGGTTGATAAATGATGATTGGCTTCCGTTACAAGGTCATTGGTGACCTTGGGTAAGAGCTGTTTTAGTGGAAAGTTAGAAAAACTTGTTTGGAATGGCGTTAAGTGAAAACACAGAGAAACTAAAGAAAGCATACAGAGATAATACCCTAAAGGAGTTTTGGTATTAAAGAAATGATAATTGATGGTAACTTGAAAGGGTAGAGAAATTGAGTTTATTTTTTAATAAAGTTTGGAAAAATGGTTTTGTTGAATTGTTGTGGACATTTTTCACTCAAGAGGGAAAAATGGATGATTGAAGAGAGTAGAGAGTTGCTCAGATGCTACCTTTGTGGAGAAGAGAGAAAGAATGGAAACTAGTAAAAAGGCATGAAGTACCTGTCTTGAAACTGTCATTTGCACCTATTTTCTACTCTTCTCTGAGGCATCAGTGGAAGGTCAGTGCTAGCCTATAAAGTGCTTTGTTTGAATTACAGCAGACTTAGTCCCGCAGCTCCCCTTATCTCATACCCCTTCTTACATCCCTCCAACCCTCCCAAACCTTGGCTAGCAGATGGTTCCTTTGACGGAATGAAATGGGGCCCCTTATTCCAGACATAATAGCCAACACAAGGGCTGGATTCTAGCTTTTACTTTGCTTAGACTGGGAAGTTTTGGGTATAGCAAATGAGGTACACTGGCATATCTTTATTGTGCTCAGTCTACTCCAAAAAAGTCACCTGCTGTTATGTAGTTAAATGTATGCATTATCCTGTGGCCAAAAGCTTAGGGGGAGGAAAGGAAATGTAATGGTATGGGAATCTTAGGAATCTTGGCCCTTCCACCAGTTGGCCAAGGGTATTTAAGGTGGGCTCTTTACTCTTTGACCTTGGGTAGTGAAAAGACTTGCATTATTTGATTCAAGGTTAGACATTGCGGCAGCATTGAAGTAAGAGAAAATACAGCAAAACCTTTGAAGAAAATATATACTTTACCTACATTTAAATTGTGTCATTTTATAATTCTGTCACATACGGAATATTATTTAACTCTGTACCTTAGTTTTCTCATCTAAAAATAGGAATATAACAATACTATTCTCCAAAACTTAGGAAAATTAGAGCACTATTGTTTTAAAAAGTGCCTGACTATATAAAAGATGATGTAAATCTGTGGTCAACATATTACTATTACTACTATGTAAGATTTTGAAACGTTCTGGAAGTTCTATAACTTTGACACTAAAATGTAATTTTATAATAATTATTTTGAGTCATGAAGTGAAAAGTTAACTTGGAAAAGGAATACCATTGAATCAAAGTTTTTGTTCCGTAGTTGGTATTCAGTTGTGGTTTTTTCTTTTAGCAAATACATTTTATACCTATAATGCAAAAGGTGACTGAGAAATGAGCTGTTACAAAATTAGTCCCAGTTCCTGCATGTATTTAACGCTTACAGAAGGTTACTTAATTTTCAAAGACATTTTCCCCTAACTAGGACAAATTAATGAGATTTTACTGTGCATATGTATTTGCTTTAAAGATGGATTATTGAAGCCATCTGTAACTAAATTATACAATCCACATTTTTTGTGTGAATTGTTCTTCACAGTACACGTTTTTGAGTATTGCTGCTGTCACATAAAACTTACCTGAAGTTTTATGATTTATAATGTATGTTTTACAAAATCATTATGCACTTAATTTATTTTAACTTATATCCTATTATTAATTAATATGGGTTGATTTTGCTGAATTGCACTTGTTTTACATAGAACTTGCAGATTACTTCTAAACTGATGAACACTTTAAAAGAAGAAAAGCCTTATACATATACTTGTTCAGGGAGCCAAGAAATAGAAGTCTGTAAAGTATTTGAAGAGGGTTTAAAAACTATTAGTTTGGGGCTGGGGATTTAGCTCAGCGGCATAAGCACCTGCCCTGCAAGCAGGCGGTCATGAGTTTGATCCCCGGTACCGATAAAAATGAAAAAGACAAAAAAAAAAAAAAAAAAAAAAAAAAAGAAATGGCTAATGACCAAGGCTAGAATCCTGGAGTATCTTGTTATAATGAAAACGAGCATTCATAAGCTGATGATGGCACTCTACGAGAATATAAAAGCCATTTTAGAGGAATTCCTACTAGCCAGACCTGAAATAATTTGAGCATTGAGATAATTAAAAGTAGCTGTGAATTTATAAACCGTTGGAAAAGAATAGCAATCTGTGAAACCATACTAGTTACATATTTACACATGCACACACGCACATACACAAACAAAAAAGAGGACTTAAATGGTTAAATATGGAGGAAGCAAATACTCAAGTTCTAAAACATCATCATTGTGCCACTATCAATAGTAAGGTTCAAAAGAATTACAAATTAGTGCAAAGAGAAATTTTGATTTATTTATCCTTAGATTGCTAATTCATTGTAGGGAAAAGTTAGTAACTAAGCAGTAGGAAAATTAATACAGCACCTTGTCTGATGCTTAAAATCACCAGTGAGGGATAGATGCCTTTGAATGTGGTATATCGTTTCAGTACTTAATACTCTGACCAAGAGTTCATTGCTTGCATCTAATCATGGTAAAACACCAGATAAGCTCAAAGTGATGAGTTCCTTTGTTTTTTTCTTTTTTTTGTTTGTTTTGGTTTTGGGTTTTTTTTTTAGGGATTATGTACTTTAAAATGTTAATGTTACAGAAGTCAAAAGCTAAAAGAACTTAACATTAAAGGAGGCTAATGATCTTGAACATAATTGATTCCAAGACTGGATCTTGTGTCTGGAGAAAAATATGTTTTTTAAAGTCATTTGACAACTTTATAATACTGAATCTAGGTTGCTGTGTTGACGCGGTTTCTAAAATTTTAACTATAAAGATTTGTAGGAAATTTCTTAGGAAATGCACACTGAAATGTTTGTGTTGAAAGAGTCATGATATATGCAGCTTATTCTCAAATGGCATAGAAACAAGTGTGTAAATGCTTATGTGTTTGTCTTTGGAAAGAGAAAAGACAAATAGGATCAAACACTAATTGAAGGAGATGGGTAATTTACAAGTGCTTTTTGTACTTTTTTTTTGTAATTTTCTAAAAGTTTAAAATTTTTACAAATTTTACAGGTACGTGTGAACACATTGGTGCCATCATTGCTCTAGGTTGCTGATTTAACTTTAATACTCCAGTAGTTCTAAAGATGGTAATGTGCATTGCTTATGATGTATATATTGATTTTTAATTTCTTTTGAATAGTGCTGGGCCTAAAGGAGATAACATTTATGAATGGAGATCAACTATACTTGGTCCACCAGGTTCTGTATATGAAGGTGGTGTGTTTTTTCTGGATATCACATTTTCATCAGATTATCCATTTAAGCCACCAAAGGTAAGACCCTTGAAGTATATTCTGTAATATTCCTCCTTTTCCAAAATAATTTATTCTAGACTTTAAATGTGTATTAATATAATAATTATTTCATGACTATTCACAAATTAATAGAGAAACTCTTATAGAACCAAGGCCTTTAAAATGGAAAGTAATGACTCCTACCTTTTACAGATAACTTATCATATTCATCAGAGGGTTTGTTAGTTTTTAAAAAATCCTATATTTTGTTCATGAATGAAACATTGTACTTATGAAGGGAAATTTCATTTAGGAGATTGGGTAAAAAGTAAACTTGTTCGGTAGCTTTCAGGAGTAATGGTTTAGCTATGTGAATTTTGCCTTTATAAAGAAGCAAAGACTAGAAAACACAGCAAAGAAAAATAAGTAATATTTAGTAAATCCATTTTGTGCCCTGTGTGAGTATAAAGTGTAAGCAGTGGAAACTAGGGGTGGTAGGGTAACCCATTGATGTTTAGTTCATTTTAAATAAGTAGCTGAAGGTTTGAGTTGTGCCTTGTAATGCCTCTCAGTTATTTTGCAAGGCTTAAACATAATAGTTATTTGAATGGCTTCCTCTTCTGCTTTGTTATTCTAAAATGGTCTAGCCAGCAGTTAAAAACCACCAGAATTAAACCTGAGCATTAATTTTGTCCTTACAGACATTCGACATCCCAGGGAAATGTTTTATCAGATCTGTAGCACTTAACTATGATGAAATGTTTTTCTTTTCAAATATGTTCCCTATTATAATTGTCATCTATGTAGTGGTTTAATGCATGCATGGGTAAAAAGATTAAAAAAAAAAAAAGAAAAGAAAATTTCACAGAAAGACATTATGGAACAAGGCTATAGTAGCTCCACCTAGTGGTATTTACCTCACATTGTAGATGCCAAGGTTTTTATCACCTAGAGATGCTCCCACTAAGGTGTCCATTTTTGATTGCTTTACTGGATAGTCGTCCCATCAGAATCTAAGATGTTGAAATTAGTGAATTGATATCGTTTAAATTTCTTTGGGGTCTTTGGAGTCTGTCTTTCTGAATCTGTCAAATAAATGTCCTTGTTGTTGATCGTAGCACAATTTGTGTTCACATTCGGAATTAAACATATTTGCTGTTAGTAAACCACTGATTGCTCAGTTTGCACTCACAGATTTTTTTTACTATAGAAACAAACCACATGGCTGTATTTATAGTGATACTTCCACATGCCTGGTTTTCATATTGAACATTCATTTTACTATATTAGCAAAATCGAGGGATTTTGTGTATGTTTTGCACAAAATTATTTTTGTATGTAGAGGAAAATTGAATTAAAAAGATTATATTTGTCCTAGTTCATTTTAATGGAAAATAGGAATTAAAGATTTCA